CCTCCCCGGTACACCGTCTGCAGCAGCTGCACGATGTAGGCGTGCACGGCCGACACGCTGCCGATGGTGATGCCGGCGCACGAGATGGCGCCGTCCCCGACCTTGCGCAGCACCTCCTCCCCAAAGCACGTGTCCACCCAGTGGGCGTTCTGGGGCTGCGCCCGGATGGGCACCTCCCCCACCGCCAGCCCGCCCTCCAGGCTGAACAGCATCGAGTCCTGCGGGGGCGGCGTCAGGCGGGAGCCGCAGGCAGAAGCGGTGGCAGGCGGGAGAGGTGGCAGGCGGGAGAGGTGCGGGGCGCAGGGCCGCCGGCAGCGGCGGCACAGCCAGCCGCCAGCCAGCAGCGGCGCCGCCGCCGCTGCCGACCGGCGTAGCCCCGGGCAGAGCCAGCCTGCGCTTTGCGCTCCGCTCCACCACACACACACACACACACACACATGCGGCTCGCACCGCGCCCATCCCACCCCCTGCTGCACCACACGCCGCCGCCACAACACACCACTGCACGCCGCCACCGCACCACCCACTGACCCACCTCATCCACCAGCTGCTGCACAAAGGGGTCAGCCCAGGGGTCTGACTGGATCAGCACGTCTCGGGAGTCGGTGAGGACGACCCCGGCCTCTGGGTCCCTCACCAGCAGCTCCCCCAGGTACTGCTTGTACAGCTCAAACCTGCGGTACAGGCGGCACGCGCAAGGCGGCGGTGAGCGGCGGCGGCGGCCATAGGCGTGCATGGGAAGGCGGCGGCAGGCGACGGCGAGAGGGCGGGGTGGGCGCCGGCGCGGCGGGGCGGTTCAGCGGCGGTTGCGGGGGGGAAAGATGCGTGTGGTTGCTGCCAGCTGTGCCAACAGCTGTGGTGGTGCGGCCTGCTGGCGGCGCCGCGCGGGCCCGGCTGTAGCTGCTGCATGCGTGCCAGGCGGCCGGCCGGATTGCAGGTGGTGGGCGGGGCGCGAGGCGGCCGGCGCCGCGGCAGGTGCGGCGGCGCGTGTCGCCACCCGCCTGCCGCCCGCGGCGGGGCCCCACCGCCGGCGCACCTGTAGAGCACCAGGGCCGAGTCCTCGCTCATCTTGAAGGGGATGACCTCTGCGTCGTTGTCCTCCAGCAGCTGGTGCTTGGTGTTCTCCTCCACAAACACCACCAGGCGGGTGGCGGGGGAGTAGCGCCGCAGCGACTTGACAAAGATGTTGAGGCGCTCGGGATCCAGCCCCATGACGCTGGTCACCACGTACTTGCCGCCCCGCTTGCTGCTCCCGTGCCACCGGGGCCCCCACTCCGGGGTTGGCTGCACGCGGCTGCGAGCCTGCAGAGCACCCGGCTGCAGCAGCTGGCGCGCTGAAGCCTGCTGCGGCGCCTGCATGAACTGGGCGCCATCCGCACCGCTGCTGCCGCTGCTGGACAGCGCAAACACCAGGCCGACCAGGCAGAGGCCGCCCACGGCCAGCACCACGGGCCGCACCGGCCGCCTCTCCTTGCCCGTCCCCTCCTTGGCAGACGCCATGACTGCTGGAAGCAGGCTGACGATGGCAAGGGGCAGGCAGAGGCTACCCTTCCAACCAAATGCGGGTGGCTTGCCACCTGGCTTGCCCCATGCAACGCCATTTGACTTGGCGAGGCATTCGGCGGACAGCATCGGCAGGATCGCTTTACAGACGCGGCGGGCAGCGCATGTCCACCCCAACATCCGATGCTGCGGCCACACTCTGCTGCCAGGTTTGTTGCGGCAGCCCGTCTGGCATCCGGTGCAGCCCCTGGCGTGACGGGTGTAAGGGGGTGAGGTGTTCATTGCCAGGCCGCCATGACGTCCACGCCGCCAGGCTTCCTGGACCACCGCCAGCGGCGGGCTCCGACTGCACCCCCCAACACCTCTTCTGCTCGCGCCCTCTGCACACTCAGGTGTGTGGCCGGCCCACGGTCCAGCCCCTGGCCTGCCCTGGGTGCGGGGTGTTCGCCTACTGCTCAGCCAAGCACCTGCGCCTGCACCGGGAGCAGCTGGGGCACGGCGAGGAGTGCGGGCGCATGGCGGCGCAGGCGGCGAGGCGCCAGGTGACTGGCGCCGCTGCCAGCGGGCCTTTGGCAGGCCGCTTTCTGGTGTGGAGCTCAGGTCTGTGTGCCTGCCCCCTCACCTGCTGGCGCTCTGCAAGATGCGTGTGCCATGCATGTCCCCGTGTGGCTGCAGGAGCTGGAGAGTCACCTGTTCCCCTGGGCCCCCGCCACCCACCACCAGCAGCCCTGCGCCTGGCTGCTGCGCCTGGGCCTGCACGGCGTGGGGCCCTGGCAGCGCGAGTGCCCATGCGGTGGTGGCGGCGGCCCAGGGGCGGCGCCGTGGGGCGAGCACGCCCCGCTGCTGCGCCAGCTGCTGCCGCCGGGAGGCCCGCCACAGACGCACATCAGCCGGGACGAGCTCAAGCAGCGGCTGGGCGGCTGGCTGGGCCTGCCTGCAGGCCAGGCACCCTGCCTAACATCCCGGGTGAGGCTCCGCCTCTGCTTCTGCCTCTGCCTTGGCCCGATCCTACTGTCGCCAGCTCAGCGGCCTGGCTTGCTTGCTCCTAGGCACATGATGGCGGCGGCCCAGCAGGCCGGCCAGCCTTGTGCGCCTCCTGCTGCCGTAGAGCGATGCCTGGCTGTTTGGGACTGGCAGCCCTGGTGTGTGAACCGACTGAACACCCGAGCCGCCACGCCACGCCCGCACCCCTGCTGCCGTGCTGCCGTGCAGGCCGCGACAGCGGCGCCTCCTCCCGCCGACTGGGCTGCCTATTACCGCCTGCGTGGCCTGCCCCTCGACTCTCCTGCCGCACTGCTTCTGGATGCGGCGCTGACCACCTATGCGGCGGTCCTGCGCCTGCAGCAGCAGCAGCTGGTGGCGCAGCTGCCCGAGGCGCAGCGGCGGCAGGCGGCAAGCCCGGCGGCCGGCCAGCCGCTGGCGTGGGGCGGCGAGGCGGGGCGGCGGCCAGAGGCGCCGCCGCAGCCGCGGCGGCTGGTGATACACCTGCTGGGGCCGCAGAGGGAGCTGGATGGCTGGCCGCTGCTGCTGGAGCTTGGCTGCCTGCTGCCGCAGCAGCAAGGCATCGAGCTGCACCTCGTTGGTCCTCAGGTGCCCGCTTGGGCGCACGGCAGGAGCGTGCGCGTGCCCGCCCCCGCGGCAGGCACCTGCGGCGCCGCCGGCTGCAGCTGCGCCCGGCAGCAGCCTCCGCCGGCGGCCGGGGAGGTGCCGGCTGGCAGCCAGACGCTGGGGTTCTGGCGAGGCGCCTATCACGAGCTGGCTGCTGAGCTGGCGCAGCGGCACGGCGCTCCGCACGTCGTGGTGGCGCTGAATGCGGGTGAGGAGGGCAAGCCAGGGTGGGGGCAGGGAGGAGGCGGGGCATCGTGGGTGCGCAAGTTGGGAGTATGCCTGGAGCGCCGACAGCCAGCAGGCAGCACCAGGGCAGGAGTGTGCCTCATGGCGCTGCGGGCCTGCCTCCCCTCATCTCGCCCCGCCCCGCCCGCTGCTGCAGGGCTGGCCGCATACGTGAGTTGGGTGCCCACACTGCGGCACCTGGCGGAAGCCATGCAGCAGCTGGTCCCGCGCCCAGCCGCAGGCGACGTCACCACCGCCGGGCATACAAGCGACAGTGGCGGCGGCAGCGGCGGCGGAGGCGGAGGCGGCGGAGGCGGCAGCAGCGGCCCGCTGGTGTGCTGCTTCACCGACTTCAATGAAGAGGCGATGCACCGGGCGCGGCAGCTGTGCGCACACGTGCTGGCAGGCTGTGGCGCCGCTGCCGGCACCGGTCCACGCGGCGAGCAGGGCAGCAGCGGCGGCAGCGGCAGCGACGGCGACGGCGGCGGCCTGTGCGGCGGCGTGGACGTGGAGAGCCGCATGAATGCGTTCCGCCGCCCGGCGGCGGTGCTGGCTGCCGACCACGCGCTGCCCTCTGCCGGCAACGGCTTTGCGCTGTGGCTGCTGCCGCGGGGCCCGCCACGGGGCTCGGCGGCACCTGGCGCGGTGCTGCGATTTACAAGTAGGGAAGAAGAAGGAGAAGGGCGATTGAAATAGTGGTGATTGATTGATTGAGAGAGCGAGTGTAAGCTTCCGCCAGCGTCGGGCGTCAGGAAACAAATAGTTGCATGCAAGCCAGCAGGTGTTCACGCGTGAGAGGGGCGCGGGCGGGGGCGCGCTCACGGCGCGCCGCCCGCCTGCTGCGCCGCGCCGCCCAGCAGGCGCGAGGCGGCGGCCTCCAGCTGGGAGTACTGCCCCAGGGATACCTCCAGGCTGGCCATCTCGCCAACCCCAAACCCGGCGGTACCGCCGCCGCCGCCGCCGCCGCCAGAGCAGCCAGAGCCGCCGCCTGGCTTCTCGCCCAGCTGCACCCAGCCGCTCAGCACGTAGCCGCCGTGCATGGCCCTGCCGCTGAGGCGGTACAGGCGAGCCAGGCAGCCATCGGCGGCCGCCGCCTGGCTGGCCAGCAGCGCGCCGGGCAGCAGCGGGCGGCCGTTGAGCTTGAGGCCGGACAGGCGGATGGCGGGGCCGCGGGACAGTGCGGCGGGGTACTGCAGGCTGGACGGCGCCCTGCACAAGCAAGAGGCACACGGGGCGCGGAGGGAGGGTGTCGAGTGTCGCCCGCGGCATGCGGGGATGAACAGGCGAGGCAAGCAACAAGGCTGCGCCGCGGCGGGCCTGGGTGTGCCCCGTCAGCAAGCCCGAGCACGCCTCGACGGCACAAGGCTGCGCCGCGGTGAGGCATGAGTGCCTCTAAGCAAGCGTGAGCGCGCCTGGACAGCGGGCAGGAGCGGGCAGGGCGCCTCACTTGTTGCAGATGCGGACGTGCAGCGCATCCAGCCTGGGCGCCCCCAGCAGCGGCCGCTCAAAGCCGCGCTCCAGCAGGGCAGCCGCGCCGCCGTCGCTGCCCACCGCCGCGCGGCAGGTGGTGGCGGGGTCGAGCGCAGCGGCCACCGAGGTCGCCGCCGCCGCGCCCGCCGCCTGCAGCAGGCCGCCCAGGGCGCCGCCGCCGCCGCCACCGTCGTCGCCGCCGCCGCCGCCGCTCTCGCTGCCGTCGCCGGGGGAGCAGTCTAGCAGGAAGGAGGCGCGGCTGCCCCAGCGCAGTGCCTCGCCGCTGGCGGCCGCGTGGGCGGGCTGCGGGGCCCCCGGCGTGGCTGCGCAGGGGCCGGCGCCAAGCACGGCGGCGCTGTATCCCTCTGCGTTGCCAAAGTTTTGCAGGCGCAGGCAGGTGTGGGGCCGGAAGGAGGCCCAGGCCGGCTCCGCCACGGGCTCTGCCGCGCGCTGCAGGCTGAGCATGCCGGGCTGGCCGCCGCCACCGCCGGCGCCGCCGGCCAGCGCGGAGGCGGCGGCGCCGCGCCCCGCCACCACTGCCCCCAGTGCCCACCCCTGCACCAGGGCCAGCGCCGCCAGCTGCTGCGCGTCGGCGGAGCTCCAGTCGCGCAGCAGCTGGCCGTGCAGCTGCTCCAGCCGGGCGAGCAGCGAGGCGGCGGCGGTACCGCCGCCACCGCCGTCTAGCAGCGCGAGCGTCAGGTTGAGCTGGGTGCGGAACCTTTCTTCCAGCGAGGCGCGGTGGGCTGCCAGCGAGGCGTCGGCGCCCTCCAGCCGGGCCGCCAGCTTGGCCTGCAGCCCCGCCAGCGCCTCGCGCAGGCCGCCTCCCGCCGCGGGGCGCGCCGCCTGTTGCTGGAACAGGCCGCCCCATAGGCCGCGGTACGCCCGGGTCGGCACCTGGGGAGGGCAGGGGCGCGTGCAGAAATGGTGGTGGGAAGGGGCGACAAAGAGGGGTGTAGGGCTGGCAGAGACCCAGCGCCTCGAGGCGCGCCGGCTGCCGCTCTGCCGCCGCCGCGAGGCGCCGCCGCCGCTCTTGCAACTGTGTTTCGGGGCGGGCTTTGGTCGATACACGAGGCATTCTGGGCCTGGTGGATCGTAAGTAGCGCTCGCACCTCGTCCGCCGAGGCCAGGGAGACGCAGGCCAGCAGGAGGGCCAGCCGCCACTGCCTCGGGCCTTGCCGAAGGCCCATCTTCGCGATGTCGGCCCGCGAACCTCACAAATCGGTCATACAAGGGGGGTAGACTGCCCGGCGTGGACAATGCGCTTCCCAGCGCATTCAGGCACTGCCCACCATGACCCTGGTTGCTTGCGCTGGTGGCTGCCTCATGTTACCACTCGCGGCATCCCCTGGCCTCTTCTATCCTCACCCCTGCCGCTTAGAGTGGGAGAGGAACCATGCAGGCAGCCATGCAGACCCGTGCGGCGGGTGTGGCCACTTTTGCGCCACTGAAGCCGGTGCAGAGGCAGCAGGCCAGGAGGAAGAACCTCCTCTTGACCCGTGTTGCGGCTATGGAGGAGCCCGCGGTGGAGGCCGAGGCCGCTCAGGAGTCCTCCTCAGCAGACGAGTGGGACCGCGAGACGGCCTACGCGCGCTTCGAGCAGCTGCTGGACACCCACGACTTCGACTTCCACACTGGGGACAAGGCAAGCCGGTGGGCCGCCCAGCTGGCGGCGCCCCCGCCTCGACCTCGCCCCGCCTTGCACCCGCCAGCCAGCCCTGCCGCTCACCCCGCCCGCCTCGCGCTGCTGCAGGTGCAAGCACAGTGGTGCGCGTCGACCAGCGCGGCGCGTACGTGGACATTGGCGGCAAATCCACCGCCTTCTGCCCCACCGCCGAGCTGGCGCTGGCGAACATCCCACGGGTGCGTGCGCCCCCCCCGCCAGCCGCCACCCTGCCGCTGCAGCTGCCCTCCCACCCGCACGGCCTCCCACATCCAGCCGCCAGCGTGGCCGAGCGCTGCAAACGGCCGCTCCAAAGCTGGCCCGCCCGCGGCGAACCGCTGCCGCCACGCCGTGCCGGCGCTCACCCCCCTGCGCGTTCCCCCGCCTGCCCGCCTGCCCGCAGTCCACCCAGGTGGTGGGCACCCACTCCTGCCGTGACTTTGTGGTGATCCGCGAGGAGCGCAACGGAGACCTCATGCTGTCCCTCAAACGCATGGAGCTGCAGGTGCCTTGTTGCTGTGTGTGTGTGTGTGTGTGATATGTGTGTGGGGGCAGGTGCTGTGTTGTGTTGGCTTGGGGACAGCGTGCGGGCGGGGGCAGGCAAAAAGGAGAGCGTGTGTGCTGCGTTCGTGGGGCGGCGCGCCGCCCCGCTGCCGCCCGCCGCTTCCGGCGGCGCATCGCGGCAGCAGGCATCAGGCCGGCCATGCCCGCACAAACCCTCCCCGCCTCACTCGCCCCCCGCCCTCCGCTCCTTTCCCTGCCTGCTCCTGCTCCCCGCCAGGTGGCCTGGCAGCGCCTGCGGCAGTACCTGGAGGATGACGTGTCGGTGGAGGGTCGCGTGGTGGCCACCAACCGCGGCGGCGTGATTGTGGAGGTGGAGTGCATCCGCGGCTTCTGCCCCGGCTCCCAGCTGGGCCAGCGGGTGCAGACCTTCGAGGAGCTGCTGGACCGCACCATGGCCTTCAAGGTGACCGAGGTGGATGAGGAGAAGGCGCGGCTCATGCTGTCCAACAAGCGCGTCGTCGCCGACGAGCGCGTGGGCGGGTTCAAGGTGCGTGCGGCGCTTGGGTGGTGGTGGGGGGGGGGCCTCGGGGGCCGGGGCTGGCCAGGCAGCGGACGGTGGGCTGCTGACGTGGGGCCTGCAAGCGTGCTGCCAATGCTTACTGCCAATGCTGGCTGCCAATGCTGGCTGCCAATGCTGGCTGGGCTGGCTTAGACAACAGGTTGGTACGGGAGGGGCCCGCACGTGGGGGCGCTGCGTGGGCCGCGCCCCGCCCCGCCCCGCCCGCCACCCACCTGCGCGCCGCGCCTCGACGTGCGCCCACGCACCCATGCATGCGTGTGGCCGCTGCCTGCCGCTCACTGACACTGCTGGCTGCCGCCTGGCCGCTGGCCGCGCAGGTGGGCGACGTGGTGGAGGGCACTGTGATCAGCGTGAAGCCGTACGGCGCGTTTGTCGACATTGGCGGCGCCTCGGGCCTGCTCCACATCTCCCAGATCTCGCACGACCGCATCACAAACGTGGACAAGGTGGGTGGTGTGTGTGTGTGTGTGTGTTGTGGCTGTGCATTGGTGTGTGTGTGTGTGAGTATGAGAGAGGGTGAGAGAGAGAGAGAGGATTGATGCGGCGCGTGGCTGTGCGGCTGCGGCCGCTCCGTGGCCGTGCTGCGGCGTGGCACGTGTGTGCGCGTGCGTGTGTGCCGGCCTCGGGCTCCGGCTTCGGCGGCCCCCTCAGCCCAGCCCATCACCCACGCTCCCCGCGCCCCCGCCGCCTCCTCCTCCTCCTGCCGCGCAGGTTCTGTCTGAGGGCGACCGCATCAAGGTGATGGTGCTGAGCCAGGACCGCGAGCGCGGCCGCGTGGCGCTGTGCACCAAGAAGCTGGAGCCGACGCCGGGAGACATGCTGCGCGACCCAGGTGGGGGGCGGGATGAGGATGGGGGGATGCGGGCGCGCTGGGGCGAGGGGGCAGCAGCGGCGCCTGGTGGGCGGCGGCCGGCAGCTGGGGCCGGTCTGGACAGAGAAGTGATCGGGTGGGTGGGGCCTGGGGCGCGGGCACGCGAGGGGCCGGCTCTCGGCTGTGGGGGTGCTGCGATGGGCATGGGCTGATCCGCCTCCCTCCCTCCCCGCACCCCCCTGTGCAGCGCTGGTGTACGAGAAGGCGGAGGAGATGGCGGCGCTGTTCCGGCAGCGCGTGGCGGCGGCGGAGGCGGCGGCGCGCGCCGAGGACGCCGTGCCAGCAGCCGAGGCCGCCGTCTGAGCCTGGGGCGGGCGCCCCGAGCGCCGGCGCCTGGCGGAGGCCCGCCCGGGGGGCAGCCAGGCGCCCGGCAGCGCCGGCCAGCCGTGCAGGCGGCCTCCAATTCTTGCCCTAGGGGCGGCGTGGCACCCCGCACGCCACACACCCGGGCCCCAGCAGCAGCAGCAGCAGCAGCAGCAGCAGTACACACTCCCTTGCAGCAACAGCACTCCCCTAGCACGGCCCGACACGGCCGCCCCGCAGCAGCAGATGTATTGATCTGGCTGCATCCTGTTTTCCAGTTTTTCGCCTCCCCGCCCTCCCTCCCCTCCCTCCCTCCCCCGTTTGCTACACGTGCCCCGCTGGCTCTGGCACCCATGCGTGCACTCTCCCTCCGGCAGCACAGCCCGCGCGGGCGGCACAACACAAACACTGACGCCGTTCCAACACGGCGGGGCAGCCGCGCCTCCCGCTGCAGGAATGTAACAGGGCAGCCACTCGGTGGGATTGTGCAGGGAGCATGTGCGAGGCACACGAGGGGTTGGGCTGCGGTTAAAGGATGTGCAGCAGCGCTGCCGACCGGCGGCACCCCGCTCGCCCCTCACAGCAGCATCTGGAGTGTCCCCTTAGCTTCACTGTGGTGTGCTTACAGCGTGTGTCAGGTCACGGGTAGGGTCAGCAGTGCGGGGCGGCTCAGTCCCCGGTGAGGGCAGCAAGAGAGGGAGGAACGGCGAGCAGGAGGAGGGGGCGGGAGGGCAGCGAGGAGGCGCGTGGCCTTGCCCGCTGCACATACAGAGCCAGCAGGGTCGACAGGAGCGCCGGCTACACATGGGTGCCAGCTCAGCAGCGGGTGCCAGCTCAGCAGCGGGTGCCAGCTCAGCAGCGGTGCCAGCTCAGCAAAACTTCCAGCGGTTGTTGCAGTTGAGGCAGCTCACGCTGCACGCAGAGGCCGGCGGAGCGCGCACGCATGCGCGGGAGCGGGATCAAGGGGCGGGGCAAGCAGGGCCGGGTGAGCCAGCCAGCTCAAAGCTGCCACCTCAACACACACACCGCCCCCGCCTGCCAGCACCGCATGCATACAGCCCACAGCCCACCATCCTTCCTGTACACACACATACCAGCACACCAGATGCGTGTGCACCCAGGCCCTCCCTGCCACCACCACCCCCCACCGCCGCCACCCCCACCATCCCCACCACCTCCACCACCCCCTTCAGCCACAGCACCACCACCCTCAGCCACAGCAGCAGCAGCAGCAGCCTCACAAGGTGGTCATGGGCTCGTCCGCCGACCGCGTCTGCATCTGCTAGTACGTGCACTTGCGCTGCCTGCACTTGCCGCACTGGAACTGGTCCGTGGTGGCCTGCGGGGGAGGGCAGCGGCCAGGTACGGGCGTGTTGGNACGTGTGTGTTGG